CTGTGTAGCCCATGCTAGTCTGGATGTTGGGATTACAGGCTGTGCTACCCAGTCAGCTTGATGTAATATTTAAAAGTTTCCTGGAGAGTTGGGGGTAAAGACTTCCTAATCAAACAGAAGTATTAACAGCAGAATGTATTTACATTCCTCTGGCCCTAGGAGTTAAATCCAGCAGAATATTAGCTCTGGCAGCTCCTTTATGTTCTCCCCCACTTCAGAGGTCATTCATCCAGTTTTCTGTTTAATCAATCAAGGTGAATCATCAGTGTGATAGTTTTATGTCCACTTGGCACAACTAGTTTCATCTGAGAGGAAGGAGCCTCAATTGAGACAATGCCTCCATAAGATCTGGCTGTAAGTAAGCCTGTAGACTATTTTCTTCATTAGTGATTGATTGGGAAGTGTCCAGCCCATTGTGTACGGTGCAGTCCCTAGGCTGGTGGTCCTGTGTTCTGTAACAAAGCAGGCTGACTTTGGAAATCAGTATGGCTGTTTCTTAGAAAATTGGGACCCAGCAATACCACTCTTGGGTATATACCCAAAGGATGCACAATCATACCACAAGGGCATTTGCTCATTCATAGCAGCATTATTCATATTACCTGGAACCTGAAAACAACCTAGATATCCCTCAACAAAAAATGGATAAAGAAAATGTGGTTCATTTTCATAATGGATTCTTACTCATTGGTTAAAACAATGACATCTTGAAATTTGCAGGCAAATAGATGGAAGTCCTTCGGTGTATGTTTATCTTATTAGTTGTTGAATAAAGTATTGTTGGCCAATGAAGAAGCAAGTTAGGCGGGACTAGGGGTCAAGGAGAATTCTGGGAAATGTAGTAAAAATAAGTCTTGTGATCCAGGCAGGAAGTGACATGGCAGGCAGACTCAGACTATAAGCAGGAAATCACTCTCTTCCACTTCCTCCTGCTCTCCACAGAGCCACCATGTGATCCCAAGTAGAGGAGCTAGTGGAATGTGTTCTCGATAATATAAGTCTTATAAAATATATAGATTTATGGTAACTAAGACTGAACTAGCATATAAAAAATCCTAGTCTATTGGCCAGCAGCATTGTAAACTAATGTAAGACTCTGTATTATTCTGGGTGCCCATGTGGTGGCAGGGCTCAGGCAGATGGTGGAAAGATTTATCATTACAATCAGTCTACCTCAAGACCCAGCAATACCACTCTTGGGTATATACCCAAAGGATGCACAATCATACCACAAGGGCATTTTCTCAACTATTTTCATAGCAACATTATTCATATTATCCAGAACGTGGAAACAACCTAGATGTCCCTCAACCAAAAATGGATAAAGAAAATGTGGTAGATTTTCATAATGGATTATTACTCATTGGTAACAACAATGACATCTTGAAATTTGCAGGCAAGTAAATGGAACTAGAAAAAACCATCCTGAGTAAGGTAACCCAGACCCAGAAAGACAAACATGGTATGTATTCACTCATAAGTGGATATTAGATGTAAAGCAAAGGATAACTAGTCTACAATCCACAGCACCAGAGAAGCTAGGTAAAATGGGGGACCCTAAGAGAAACACACATGGAGGGCCCCAGGAAGGGAAAATGGTTGAGATCTCCTGGGTAAACTGGGATAACTGGGTAGAAAGGAGGGGGTAGGGGAGGGAACATGAGTGATCCAGAAGACTGAGTTGGAGGAGGGACTAAGGGGGCACCAATGAAAGACATATTTTGACAGTGTGAGCCATTATGGGGTTAGGGAGAAACCTGGTACTAGAGAAACCCTCAGGAATCCACAAGGATGACCCCAGCTAAAACTCCTAGCAGTAGTGGAGAGAGTGTTGAATGGGCCTTCCTCTTCAATCAGATTAGTGACTGCCTTAATTGTCATCACAGAACCTATATCCAGTAACTGATGGAAGCAGATGCAGTGACCCACAGCCAAAGACTGGGCTGAACCCCTGGAGTTCAATTGAAGAGAGGGCTAGAGGGATCATATGAACAAGAGGTGTCAAGACCATGATGGAGAAAATCACAAAGACAGCTGATCGGAACTAGTGGGAGCTCACGGACTGTGGATGAAAACTTGGAGAACCTCCATGGGACAGACCTAGACCCTCTGAATGTGGGTGACAGTTATCAGACCTTATCTGTCCGGGGGGTGGGGGGATCTGGCAATGACACCAGGACCTAACCCAGGGGCATGAACTGACTTTTGGGAGCCCATTTCCTATGGTAGAATGCCTTGCTCAGCCTTGATACAGCAGGTAGGGGCTTGGTCCTGCCCCAACTTTGTATGCTCTTTGTGGACTCCCCAAGGAGGGCCTTACACCCTCTGAGGAGTGGATGGGGGTGAGAAAGGGCGTGGGAGAAGGGGCAGGATGGGGAACTGGGTTTGTTATATAAAATGAAAAATATAGATGTTTAAATAAAAGAAGGAGGAAGAGGTGGAGGAGGATCACTGTGAGTTCGAGGCCAGCCTGGTCTCCAGAGTCGAGTGCCAGGATAGACTCCAAAGCCACACAGAGAAACCCTGTCTCGAAAAACCAAAAGGAAGAAAAAAGAAAAGAAAAGGAAGAAAAAAAGAAAGGAGGAGGGACCTGGCAGGACAAGAAAACTCCAGCAACAAAATGGCGCCCACAGGGGGAGCAAGGTTTTCTGCCTAAAACCAGACAAAAGTTTTAAAAGGGATTCTAAACCAAAGAGACAATTACGGCTTCCTGGTAGTAGCATTTTTTGGGGTGGGCTCTGTTTGCTAGAGACAAGCAGAGTGTTGCAGCTCCTTTAAGAGGGTCTTCCTGATTCAACATTAGCAGCAAAAACCTGCATGGCTCTTTTAAGAGGCCCTGCTACTAAACAGGTAAATGGTGTGTATGATCAGCTGGTGGCAACAGTGAACCACATCTCCAAGCCACACAGCATGCTGCAGAGCAGATCTATGTAATTAATGTAAGTCTCTGTGTGTTTATTCAGGGCAAGGTGGTTGTGGGACCAGGCAGGACAAGAAAACTCCATCAACAACACTGTTGTAGCCACCTGTTTGCAGAGCATAGCCCCAGTGAGGATGCTGTATGAAGGTGTTGCATTTTGAGACCACTGGATGTTGAGATGCCCAAGCTGTGAGACACCTGCCATAAATAGCTGCATGTAGAGTGGAAGTGGCCAATGAGAGATGTGTATAATGTTTCAGAGAGAAAGAGATACCTAAGCCCTTTGAAATTAAAGCCCCAGGTGTCTGACACAGCTGCAGCATTTAGTGTTTGCCCCTTGGGGTTTCAGTCTTACCTTGGTCCAACTTTTGCTTACTTCTTTGAGAAGGAAATGTGTATTCTTTTCCTTTGTACATTGTGTAGATATAATTTGTTTTTGTTTTTTATTTTACAAGATATCAGTCAAGAGACTTCCCTCACTGTCAGAAAAAAAAAGCATTGTACATTCTTAACAGTGTTGGGACAGTTACAGATTATTGGGCATCTTATGGTTAGATTAATTCCATTTTGAGTTATGGGTTGAGCATGAGCCTCTCATGACCTGTCAGTATGTGGTGGGTTGAGTGGAAAATCTCCCAAGCACAAAGATATATTTGAGACTGTGGTTTTCATCAGGATGAATATGGTACCTCTACAGAATGAATTGCCTTTTTAGTGCATGTTAGTCTCTGGGGATGGGGGTTGAGTGTTTATACCCACAACCACACTTGTCTTCATTCTGTGGTTGATACCAAGTGTCCCCTTCCTTCTCATTCAGCCATGCCATTACCACCATAACAGATACCATCCCTAAATAACATAAGGTAAAATAGATGTAATTGTTTTTTCTTTCTAAGCCATTTTTTGCCATGATATTTTTATTTTTTTTATTTACACTGATAGAATGATGTTCTTGTGTTTGTGAAGCATTTCCTCTTGTGCTGAGCTTTAGCCATTTCTTTACTTTTAAAATTTAGCAGAAAGTGTCATTTATTTCCCACCAGGATGGTATGCATCCATGACATTAATACTGATCTCCTGAATCATTACATTACAGATGCGGGACATCTCCATATCTTTATGCATGTTTTAATTTGTTTAATTTTTGAAATGTGTGTATGAGTCTTGTGTGTGTGTGTGTGTGTGTGTGTGTGTGTGTGTGTGTGTGCCTGGTGTTCATTGAAGTCAGAAGAGATCATTGTATTCTCTTGATCTGCAGTTACAAATTGTTGGGAGCTCCAAGTGAGTGCTGAGGATTGTTGCAGGTCCAATGCAAAAGCAACAGGTAAAACTGTAACTCTTGAAGCATCTTTATACTCTACTGGGTTTTGTTTGTTTGTTTGATTGATTGATTGATTTTTTTTCTATCATCAGTCTTTACTTACTAATGTTTTTAGAACCCTTTTGTTTTGTCACTCAATAACTTACTAAAAATGCATTCCTTCATAGGAATACTATATGACCCTTAGAGTTTAGATGAGGCACTCCAATTTTCTGAAAGACACTACATTTATGGTGTTTATCTCATTGGTGGAATGCTGCATGAGCCTGAGTGCTCTCTGTTTTGTTTTGTTTTATTTGAGACAGGGTCTCAGTATGTACCTTTGGCTGTCCTAGAAATCTCTACACAGACCAGTCTGGCCTGGAAATCGCAGAGATGTACTTGCCTCTGCCTCCTGAGTTTTGGGTTTAAAAGTGTGCACCACCATGGCCATGTTGTCCATCCTTTTTTGATGTCAGTAGTTTAGATACTATTTTGCTGATGTTTGTTCTAGTATTTTGCTGTGTTTATATGTCTCTCCATATAAACATATATATATCCGCATTTCTTGCAATGTCGTATACTATTCAGAGGGCCCAAAATGAGAGTCATGGTTCTCTGTTTCCTTCTAAAAGGACTTGGTGATTGCATTTGAGATTCTGTGATATGAAATAATTTTGTTCAGCACACAGAATCATGTAAATATATTCACAATGAAGTGCACTTTTGCAGTGCAGTCGGTCTCACCATTTCTATTATGTACAAAATGGGATACTTTAGGATGCCGTGACCTATGAGGATGTGCATGTGAATTTCACTCAGGAAGAGTGGGCTTTGCTGGACCCTTCCCAGAAGAGTCTCTACAAAGATGTCATGCTGGAAACCTGGGAGAACCTCATTTCTATAGGTAAGAATATGAGCTTTCTGTCACTTCATAACTTAAGGGGGTAAGCCTTTATTGGAGATTGGTGATCCACTGTGATTTTGACTGTTAAAGAAGAAGAATCTGGTAACAATCACTGAAGATAACTCAAATTTTGCATTATTTCCAATAATTATACATTTTTGGTAATGTGTTTTAGGCTACAAATGGGAAGAACAGAATATTGAAGAACATTGGCAAAGTTCTAGAAGACATGGAAGGTATATTTCATGTGCAAGGAGATACAATTATGCCTTCAAAAAATTTTAATATGCCCTAATATTTAATGAAAAGCAACAGTATAAAAATTACAGCTTTGTGATGATTATTAAATTCTTAAAACATCAGGCTGGAGAGATGGCTCAGTGATTAAGAGCACTGACTGCTCTTCCAGAGGTCCTGAGTTCAATTCCCAGCAACCACACGGTGGCTCACAACCATCTGTAATGAGATCTGGTGCCCTCTTCTGACCTATAGGCATACATGCAGGCAGAATGCTATATACATAATAAATAAATAAATCTTTAAAAAACATTCTTAAAATATTGTGTACTTCTGTTTCAGGTAGCTGATCTGTGTTTGCAATGCAGTCCTCTAAGAAACAAGACAAGGAAAGAATGCCTTACTTAGCAAATATCACCATACTAATCATAGCTCCCTGACATCCATGTTGCAGAAATATCCATTCATACAGTTTCCTCTCATTCAAATATTGTAAAGGCATTCAATTTGAATAGGGGATTAAGATATTCTAAGACCTTTTATAAACAAATAGTGCATAGTAAAGCTAGTGTTGCTCATGTACTTCTAGTGACTTAACTATAATGTAATGAGAAGGGCAGTTTATGAGAATCAAGAAGGTTGTGGTGGAGAGATCTTGATCCCTATTCCATATCTCTATGAGGAACAAAACATTAAAGTGTGTGGATGCAATGTGAAAACCTTTTGTTTATAATTGTTCCTTTAATAGGTTTATCATCTGTCACTCTGGATGCAAGCCAAGTGAGCATAAGGGATCTGGAAAGAAGCAATGTACCTCTGTCTCTCCCAGAAAAATTAGAAGATATATAGTAGTTAGCACTATTAGGAGCCAGGGTGATCATGATACAAGTGTAGAATTAATTGGATTTCCATCTTCACTGGGAATACATCAGCATAGTTACACTGGAGGAAAGCCTTATGAGTACCATGAATATGGAAATTCTTCGGTCTGTCCGGATTCATTTTGCACATGTAATATGACTCCCACTACAGGAAAATGTTATGAATTCCATCAGTGTGGTAAAGCTCTGAGTTCTAGTTCTCTTCAAACAAGTGAAAAACCTCATATGGGTAAAGAATGCTGTAAATGTGAGCCATGTGCTAATGGCTTTAACCATCACAGTTATCTTCAAACACACAGAAGATCCCATAATGAAGACAAATCCTATGAATGTAAACAATGGGATAAGACATTGAGATCTGATTCCTCTTCACAATTACATGAAAGAACTCCTTTGAAAATAAAACATTATGAATATAATCAAGGTGAAAATGCCATTGCATGTTATAGTTATCTTCAAGTACCCAAAACTCATATTGGAGAGAAATTCTATTTATGTAATCAGTGTGGTAAAACATTTGCCCAGAAGAGTCATCTCCACAGTCATGAAAAAAACACATACTGGAGAGAAACCCTATGAATGTAATCAATGTGGAAAAGCCTTTGCCGAGAAGAGTCATCGTCATAGGCATGAAAGAAGTCACGCTGGATAGAATCCCTATGAATGTAATCAATGTAAAGCTTTTGCGTGTAACACTCATCTTCAAAATCATAAAAGAATACATACTAGAGAAAAATCCCATTAACATGAAAAAGAAGTAAACCCTTGCACACTAGACAGAGACAATCATTTTGGAGATGCCAGTACCATGGGATGTCCACCAAGACCATTAGCAGTGGTGAAGCAGAACGCATCGGTTTGTTTTTACTTTTTTCAGATTGTGGCTGCATTGCTTCTTCCCTTTGAAGGGAGAAGGTATTTATTTTGATTTTTACAAAAGCCATAGTTGAAAGACTTTGAACTTTTAAAAGAGATTTTAAATTTATAGTGAGATTGCATATTTTTAAGGAGAAGTTTTAATGTGTTTTATGTTTTTAATGTGAGATCTAGGGAATGAATAAGAAAGGGAAGGTGGCTTAATAGTGACTGTTTACATGTCAAGTTGACAAGTGGTCAGTTGTATTGGCTAGTCTTAGGTCAGTTTCACACACAAATAGAGTTACCTTAATGGAAACTCAGTTGAGAAATACCTCCATAAGATCTGGCTTTTGGACATATTTTTAAATGTGATAGATACAGAAATGTCCTAATTCCTGCCTCCAGGCTTCTGCCCTGTTGGAGTTCCTGTCCTGACTTCAATCAGTGCTGAACAGCAATGCTGAAGTGTAAGCCAAATAAACCCTTTCATCCTCATCTTGCTTTTTGATTGTTGTGTTTCATTGCCAAAATTCTAAGACTACAAAAACAAAACAACAACAAAAAAGTTGTGGACAGATGGCTCAGCAATTAAACACACTGGCTGTTCTTCCAGAAGACACAGTTCCATTTCCCAGCACCCACGGGCATGAAAGAAAGAATCCCTATGAATGTAATCAATGTGGTAAAGCTGTCTGTTCCAGGTTACCCAACACCCTAACACAGTCTTACATACAAACAAAATACCCATGCATGTGAAACAAATTATTTAAAAAATATACATATATATCACATTATGGAACTTTCCCTAATATAGTCTCTACTCAAGTAAATCTTTAGTTGTCTTCATTCACATCAAGAGAATTGTGTTAACAATGATAATAATAGACAATGTGCAGAGTCCATTCATAGAAATCTATTCAATCCTTCAGTGTCCAAATAACAGGAAATTTCATCACCTCCAAGTGATAGAAGAAAGAGTAATGGCACATCTTCATAATAATGACATATTTGAGAGTTGGGGATTTGACTCAATTGTACTGCTGCTGTTGGGTAACCAAGTTTGGTTCTTAGCATCCACGTCAGTTGGCTCAGAACTACTTATAAAGGTTTATCCTGGAGATCCAATGTATTCTTCTGGGTTCCTTAAACACCAAGTATGCAAGTGGTGCAAAGGGGTGTGTGTCGGTGTGTGTGTGTGTGACTTCATAGAGTTATTTGAAGAGAATTCTAAATGTTTGTGTTAACACTTCAAAACAATCTTGTTACCTCAGTTTCTTCAAAACATGGAATTGTTCTTGGAATGTGTTTTTGTGCTTCTCCCAGGTGTAGCAGATAGGTGTGAGTTGACTTCAGATTGCTCATTATTGCTTGCTGTTGTTATTCAATTAAATGTTTCAGCTAACCTTTATAGGACTATATGGAAAAACATGTTTTTGGTCTATGTGACTCATTTTTTATTATTGTATACAGCCTGAACTCATAAGAATATTACTCATAACCTTAACCTGCAGACTATAAATTGTCTGAAACACTGAATAAAATTGGCTATTGTGTGAAACTTTAGTCCTCATTCATTGACTCCATTCTTCCAGGTCACACCACCTCTTAAGTAGTGAAAAGTGGCACTTGAACAAAAACTGGAAGTTGTCTACAAGTTAAGAGAGTGGCAACCCTCAGTGAAGGAGGTGAATGAGGATGATGGGGAAGAAACTGGGGGCGAGGTCCTAATGTTGCCCAAGTGTATCATTTTCTTTAAAGAAAGTATCCATATCAAAATTACAAATATTAGATTGCTTACAAATTAATTATGATTATAACTTCTGGTTTCCAGAAGATGGAATTTTAGGTTAAGTATGGGACAGAACACAAAACAATATTGAAAAGGCAAACAAGGAAAAGATCCCTGTTCAATTCTGGGTCCTTTTGTCATTAAAATGGACTGTTGTCAAACTAAGGATGATAAGGAGGACAGAAACCATGTAGGACTCAGTGAATTCCTGTAATTAATATAAACTTTATGATCAAACTTTAAAATTAGTAAAAGAGGTAAAGAGGTGATTTTCCTTGTTCAAGCAAAATCAAAAGTGCCTCATGGAAGCCTCCTTTACATACATATCCTGAATTTTCTGAAAATGACCCTGAAGCATCAGGTAATTTACTGAATTCTCTCCATTTTGGTGAAGACTTAGGAGAGCCTATAAAAAGCTGACTTTATCAATTCCTTACTGGCCTCATAGGTGTAATTGGTATTTCCAGTGCAACTTCAAAAAACTGAAATATTTAAACGTTAAAGAACTGGATGTACAAGCTGGGCAGTGGTGGCTCATGCCTTTAATCTCAGCAGTTGGGAGGCAGAGGCCAGCAGATCCCTGTGAGTTCAAGGCCAACCTGGTCTACAAAGTACACAGAGAATCATTGTCTCAAAAATTAAAAACGAAGACTTTTTAAAAAAAGAACTGGATGGACTTTCAAATCATTCACAGATTACTGTGGAAAAATAGGAAATCTTTATCCAGCTGTCATATAATCTGAACTTATGATTATAAAAATTGTCCAAAACGCTCCCATTCCACAGGTAGATGTTTATTTCTCATCTAATCGATTAGGAAGGATTAATAGTCCAGATATTCATCAATCTTTTAATTCTTCTTTCTCCTGAGCTCAACATGTGGAACTGCCTGTTTTAATTCATGTATTATAGTTAATTTATAAACCTTCAAATAGTTCAGATTCTGCTTATGTTGTATGAATATTTCCAGCAATAGAACTGCCTTAATTTTATCTACACTTCCTGTTATGCTCTTATTACTATAGGAACTAAAACATCTGGTAAAACCCATAGACATGTGGAAGGAACACAAGCATATGCAAGATATTGTTATTCATGGTATATTATAAATGAGAACAATGTGTAGCCAATAACCAAATTAGCACTCCAAGGAGCCTGGTCTCAGATGCACTCAGAGAACTGGCTTAAACCCCAAAAAGAGCTCGAGCACCTCCTCCTTAGTCCTTTTATCCCATCCCTTCCGCATACCTGTGACCATACCCAAACAGGCATAGTCAGGGCTACAGGTAAGTGGGGATTCTCCCTAAAATTCCCCCTTGTATTCTAAAAAAAAAAAAAAAAAAGGATTTAGAAAATAGACTTTACACAGTAAGATGAATTATGATATACAAATTATACATGTTACATCATACAAGGATCTATAATAGTGTAAGTTGTCTATAGCTAATAATCACTAAGGTGAATCACAAGAAGATATAATAATCTAATATGTCTTATCCTAACCAGATCTATCCCATCTAAACTCTAAAGTCATTTGAAAGAGATATCCAAGCCTGAACACCTCCTTCCAAACCCAACCCTAAACAATAGAAAACTAATCCTAACCAGGTGTACATTATCCTTTAGTGTCAACAGTAGGAAAAGGGGGCGTAGTATTCTCAGAGTTACTTTCTGCTGAAATAGGACAATGAATCTCATGGGATCCTGTAGGAAGAAAATTTTAGAATAGTGAAAGGCTTGAGTGGACCAGTTACAACATTTGTTCCCAGCCTGTTTGGCAGGAGGTGCTTGATTGGAGTTCTTGATTGAAGTTTTTATCTGAAGCTCTGGCCGGAGTGAAATTAGAATGTTATCATCTCAGCTAGTTGCTTGAGTTATCTGGAGTGATGTAGACCCAAACCAGTTTTAGAGTGGTGATTGACAGTTCAAACACATCAAGTTGGATCCAGTGGAATCAATGAAGTGGGGCCCCATTTTCTTTCTGAAGAGTTCAGAGATTGCCGTTAGGAAATTCTTTATCCACTGTGGGGGACTTAAACACTAATGTCAACATAGAAATTTCAACTTTTATAGGTATGCATACCGGGAAGGGCAGCAAAAGGGAAGATAATAATTAAGAGGGGATTTAGGCTGTCAGAGAAAGAACCAAGTGTAGACAAATGACAGTCCCTGGATTTTTTTCTCTTCTTCCATCTTACATCAACTGACTTCTTGATATAATACAGAAACTCTGAAGTTTGTTTTGACAACATGCTTGGATTTAGAGGAGGAGAGCCAAATCCACCTTTAAATCCAACATTGGTTTAAGTGAATTGGGACTAGGCACTAGAAAGTAAAGAGAAATAGATTCTTATATAGAAATAGTTTTAAAGTTTACCACGTGATAGATTCTCCTTTGTTTGATGGTTCTCTTTTGGTGGCTATCCTCTCTTATTTAGATATCTATACATTTAGTGTCTTCTTGCTTTTTGGAGACAGGTTTTCCTGTGAAGACAAGAACAAAACACTCTCCTTTCCTTTGTGAGGTTTCTATACAATTCGTGGGATATTCCTTGGTGGATGACCTGTCATTTCTCCTCATCAAGAGGTTTTTCCTGTTTGACCCTAATCTTGGCCAACTTTGATGGTATCCAAAGCTTTTCTTCTCCTGTGGAAACAAAGACAAAACACTTTCCCAATGTAACACATGTCCTGGTTTCCTTACTGAGGTCAATACATCTTTGAGGGATACCAGCTGATTCAGTTCAGAAGTTTTTTCTGTAGTCCAGTGTCTTTCTGCAGCTGTTTGTCCTTTCTCGTTAGCATTAAGAAAATTTAGTGTCAATAAAGCATTGTGTAATCTGTGTTTGGGGGTCTTTGTTCCCCCTGCCTATTTATGGTGCATTTCTTTCAGAGTGTGGTTAGATCTCTCCACTACTGCTTATCTTGTGGGATTGTGTGGTATACCAGTTACGTGCTGTATGTTATAATATTTGAAGAAATGTTCCAATTTGCTGGAGACATATGCTGGAGCATTGTTAGTTTTTATTTGTGCAGGTATACCTATAATGGCCATCATTTCTATTAGGTGTGTGTGTGATAACAGAATTGGCCTTTTCAGAGCTAAGAGCAGTGGCCCATTGAAACCTTGAGAATGTGTCTATAGTATGGTGTACATATTTTAAATTTCCAAATTCTGCAAAGTGAAACACATCCATTTGCCAAATTTCATTTCTATAACTACCTTTGGGATTACTGCCTGCTGGTAATGGAGCTTGATTATAGAATGAACAGGTAGGGCAGTCTCTCACTATCTCCTTGGCTTGTTGCCAAGTGATGGAAAAAATCTTTTTTAAACCTTTGTTATTTACATGGTATTTTTTATGAAATCCTGAGGCTTCTAGCATGCTTCCTATTTAGTGATCAATCTCAGCATTGCCTTGTGTCAGAGGGCCTGGCAGACCCGTATGGGATCTGATGTGATATCTATCATATCTATCATATATATATATGCATATATATATATATCCGTAAGTGCCATGAGAATTGCATACAATTCTGCCTTTTGTACAGAGTTATAGTGACTTTGAACTATTTACTTATATCCCCTGATTTATATCCTGCCTTACCTGATTTGTTTGCATCAGTGTAGAAGGTAGGGGCTCCAGAAATAGGTTTTTCTTACAATACATGGAAGTATCCAAATTGTCTTCTTTATGAATTTAATTCTCTCTGTTTTGGGATAATTATTGCTAATTGTTCCCAAAAAGTTACTACAAGACAATATTCATTATCCTTCTATAAGGAGGAAATTTCCTCATTAGTTAAAGGTACTATGATTTCTGATGGGTCCCTTCCAGTCAGTTGACAAAATCTTAATTTGCCTTTTAAAATCAAATCAGAGACCTTTTCCATATATGTCTTTAGTTTTTATTCTATTTATGTGGCAG